CACTTTCACTGCTGTGGCCCGGGTTTGATCCCTGGTCAGGGAACTGAAATCCTGCAAGCGGTGTGGTGTGGCCAAATAAAATAAAATAAAATAAATTTGTCATTTTAATTATGATATGTCTTGGTGTGGGTCTCTTTGGGTTCATCTTATTTGGGACCTTCTGTGCTTCCTGTACCTGAGATCTGTTTCCTTGTTTAGGTTTGGGAAGTTTTCAGCCATAATTTCTTCAATTACACTTTCAATTCTCTTTCTCTTTCCCTTTCCCTTCTGGAACACCTATTAGGCATCCGTTGGCACGTTTTGTATTATCCCATAAATCTCGTATGTTGATATCATTTTTTTTTTCATTGTCTTTCTGTCTGCTCTTCTGATTTAGTGATTTCCATTTTGCTATCTTCCAGGTCACTTATTCATTCTTCTGTGGCATTTAGTCTGCTCTTCATTGCTTCTAGATTGGTTTTTAATCTCAGCAATTGAATTGTCTATTTTTGATTGGTTCATCTTTATAGCTTCTAGTTCCTCATTACAGTGATGTGTATTTCTATCGATACTCTTTCTTAAATCAGTTAGAATTTTTATTATCTCCTTTTTGAACTCAGGGTCTAGTAAACTAGTGAGCTCTTTTTTTTTTTTTTAGAAGATGTTGGGGGTAGGAGTTTATTAATTAATTAATTTATTTTTGCTGTGTTGGGTCTTCGTTTCTGTGCGAGGGCTTTCTCTAGTTGTGGCAAGCGGGGTCCATTCTTCATCGCGGTGCATGGGCCTCTCACTGTCATGGCCTCTCTTGTTGCGGAGCACAGGCTCCAGACGCGCAGGCTCAGTAGTTGTGGCTTACGGGCCTCGTTGCTCTGTGGCATGTGAGATCCTCCCAGACCAGGGCTCGAACCCGTGTCCCCTGCATTAGCAGGCAGATTCTCAACCACTGTGCCACCAGGGAAGCCCGTGAACTCTGTTTTATTATCTGTTCTTTCAGGGGATTTCTCTTGTTCTTTTAATTGGGAGTAGTTCCTCTGCCTTTTTGTTTTACGTAACTTTCTCTGTCTCTATGAATTTAGGAGGAACAGTTATCTATGGTGGTCTTGAAGGGTGTTTTTATGTGGGAGTGTCCCTGCATAGATTGTGTGTGTCCAGTGTTTTTGGCACAGTGGCTGGTTTTGGTATGGACTTCAGCCGCATCTTTCCTCAGGGTGTGCTGGCCATTATCCCCTTGATGGGAGTGTGGCTGGTATTCTGGTGTCCAGAGCCTGTACTGGATGTGAGGCAGGGCTTTCTCTCTGCTCCGTGGCTGTCACTGCCCTGTCAGGGGCAGGGTCTGCTCCCCAGTTGTTGGGGTGGAAGGCTTGAGGGTTGGGTTCAGTCGGACTCCATTGCCCTTGAGTACATGCTGTGCCCCAAAGGAGGTGATTTCTGAAGCAAGTGACGCCCACATGGTCACAGAGCACCTGTGTGCTGCCTGTGTAGGCATCCATAGTTCCACTCAGAAGCAGCCCAGGGTTGTGTCCCTTTATCTGTTTTGTCTCAGATCTAGTTAAAGGCTATGGTGTGGAGTAGGCTGGGGCTGAGGGTCGGGGTGTTGTGGCTGCAGGAATTGAGGTGACAGAGCTGCTGCCTGAGGTCTGGGCTGCCTCTGTGGCAGACTCCCAGGAACTGTCTGCCCCATATCTAGTGCTAAGCTGCGGTGTGGTGTGGGCACACTGGGGTATTCTTGCTAGGAGACTAACCACTGCTACTCCTGAGCTTGCTGACAGTGGTTGTCACCATTCCATCCACACCACGCCCCAGGACCTCCCAGCTATCTCTGCGGTAGCTAGATTGAGTTCTCTCCTAGGGCCTATATGCCCAAGATTCAGCACTTAGCCACTGCAGGCTCCTGTGGCGCTACCTCACATGCATGCTGACAGTGGCTGCTGTGGCTCCACCCGGATCACAGCCCAGGTGCCCCGGTCTGTCTCTGTGCAGCTACACTGAGTCTCTGCCCAGATTTCATGCCCGGCTGTGGTGTGGAGTGAATGGGGCCAGGGTGTTCGCCCCTTTGGATTGGGAAGTGGGGCAAGGCGGCAGTTGCCAGTGCAAGGCTCTCTTTGCCCTGGTTCTCAGCAAGCCAGCATGTGGTCACTCCTCACGTGTAGAGCCTAGGCTTCTCCAGCCCTCTGTCTGTCCCAGTGGATTTCTCAGCAGACAAGGGGGCCTGTCTCCTCTACGCAGGACCCCAGGACTGGGATGCCCAGATTGTGGTTCGACCTGCTTACTCCCCAGGGCGAGGGTCCACCTGTGTGGACCTTCTCTTCCTTACAGAGGTCACTCCTGGGGGCTCAGTTCCCAACCTGATGCTTTTTTTTTTTTTTTTCTGTCTCTGCCTGGTTACGTGGAGCTGTTTCTTGCTGCCTTTGTTCTTCTGCCAGTTTCCAGTTAGTTTTCCCTGAAAATTGTTCCACATGTAGAAGTAATTTTGAACTCTTTTGGGGGAGAGGTGAGCTCCACATCTTCCTACTCCACCTTCTTGATCCCTCTCAGCCTTGGCATCCTTGAAATGAAAGTTCTAGAAGTGAATTATATAAAGTGGATCATTTGAAGGAAACTCTATGAACACAATAAAAATAGAGAAGGAGAACCTAGGGGAGAGTCAAAAGAAGAACTATCTTCCATCTTTCTTCCAGAACGGGAGGGATGATCAGACAGACTGTGTGAGTTTTAGGGGTCCAATAAATAGCACTCTTCCTTTTACACTTGAGTTTGGAACCCATGGAGAGAAAAAAAAAAAAAAGATGTCCGGGGACATGGCTTTAGATCTTCAGTCAAGCAGGCTTGCAAATACTTTATCCCTGAATTAGAACTTACCGTCTAATCTAGACACAGCTGAAGAATTGCAGATCCCTCCACCCAACTCATGCAAGGCACGTGGCAAAGAGCAGTCTGGAATGCATGCCCACCTCCTGCAGAAACACTGGCAGACAAAGACTGGAAGGGGGAGGGAGTGATATATGCCCCTGTTCATTCTTCCAAATTCACTAATTAAATAAACTCAATTTTCTTTTCACATGGAGTGATAAGTAAGGGGTAGGGAGAGAGTCCAAGGGTGTTTCTCTAGGGAAGGCCTTCTGCATTGGAAACATGAAGAATGAGGATTAAGAGTTCCCTTCAACAGACAAAAGAGAAGAGGCTTTAATTAGTGGGGCACTAGGGATAATTGGAGCTATTGTGCTGAACTAGGATATGTGAGGTTTGCTATCTTCAAATAAGTCCTGATAACCCACATCAGTCATTAGCAGTATGTTTTATTTAGCCAGTCTGGTTTGTTGTAAGAGTGAGTAGAGGATAGGCAGCATAATGTGGTGAGGAGCGTGCACTTGGGTGCCAGACTGCCTGGGTTTGAGTCCCTGATCTGACTCTTGCTGTGTGACTATGAAAATATTACTGAACCAGTCAGTGCCTCATTTCCTACTTTATAAAATGGGATAATGATGGTAGCTAATTCATAGGGTTGTGAGGGTTAAATGAATTAATATATGGAAAGCATTTAGAACAGTGTCTAGCACATAGAAAGCACTATCTAGAGTATACACAAGTAATGTTGATATTGCTATGTGAGAATGTTCTGTAAACTATAGATATATAAAGGCAATGCATTCTGCACAATATTAGAGACAGCCCAGAGATTGTCAGTTTTGACAGGAGCCCTAGGAAAAAAATGCAGTGTTGGCAAAATCATGTTCGGTCTTCTTTTCCTTCATTCTACTGCTCCTATTTTTAGGAGTCCAGCAACTCCATTGCTCAAAGTTCTATAGCCTATGCAGGTGTGCTATCTTAGAAGTCCTTCATTCTTATGACAAGTATATTTTCTGTGACAAAAATTGGGACTCATGCTGAGAAACTGTGAAGCAGATAGGAATTGGTTTGCGAGTACTAAGGGTGTGGAACTGTAAACTTCATTTTCCTTGTAAGTGAAATGGGGATATTGCCTTGTACAATACAGCCACAATTGGTGGCTAAAATATGGGTAATGATACCTGAAAGATTTCCTATGAAAATTGGAGTCTGTGCTCCCAAGTTTGTCAATTCTTTTTAGTTTTCCCATCCCCCAGATAAAAACTGAAATTCAGTGTGTATTGTGTATATAGGAGGTGTTCCATAAATGTTGAATGAATTGAAGCTGTCTTAGCTCCCTGTTAACTGACTAAAGCATTTGTTATATGATATATATACTTAAGTAGTTATAACAAAAGAACACTCGTGTGCCCTGTGGAGGTTTTAAAATGTGTTCATGTGTTTTCATTTAGTACCTCTGCAATTATCCCTCTGCCTGGAATGCTTTCTTCTTCCGGATCTTTACATGGCTAACTCCTTGTCATTTGGGACTTAGATTAAATGTCATCTTATCAATGTCGTCACTAGTGAGTTCTACCAAATATTTAAGTAAGAAATAACACCAATTTAACACAAACTCTTCCAGAGTTTAAATCCTAATACCAACATTGACAAAGATATTGCGAAAAGAAAATTATAGACCAATATCCTTCATGAACATAAACACAGAACAAAAATCTATGTTTATTAAAGCATCTGTAATATGATATATATATATATAGTTAAGTAGTTATAACAAAAGGAGACTCATGTGCCCTGTATAATAAAGTATTAGCAAATTGAATCCAACAATATACAACATAAAGAGGATAAGACATTATAAATGAGATCCTCTTTAATGTTTTTCAAGGGATATAAATTAAAGATTGGAATTCCTTTATTACTACTTCAGCTATTCAGATAATACTCCTTTGACTGTGATTCCGTGTGGAGCCTGAGTCACAGGGGTCCAGGATTCATAAAGATTACAAATATTTCATCATGTCATTGTAATTTGAGTCTTTATCAAGAATTAGGTATGTTTTAGATATGAAAGTAAAAGTATTTTATAGCATTGTCCAAAGTGTATTTTGATTCCAAAATTTTCATTTTCAGCTTTGGAGTTTTCAGTAACAGACATTTTCCTTGTCTTGTAGTTCAAGATATTTTGGAAACTATATTAATAGACAGCTATATTTTCCCAAGCACCATAATAGTAAGTGTATAACTTTTATATAATTACTTGTTTCGTGGTTGTTAATTAGAAAGTACTAAAAAGCCTTCAGATTTAAATAACTAGTTTGTTTAATGCTGAGACTTCTTCAAAACACGTCCTTAACTCTCATACTTCTAAGGCTTCTAATATAGATCCCACTCCTTTCATTTTGATGAATCTGCCAAAAATTGTCCTTTTTGAGAGGTTTGTTTTTTATTGGATTTTTTTTCTAGTTTGCAGTCCTTTTCTTTTTTCTTTTATTTATGTATGTATGTATGTATTTATTTATTTATTTTTGGCTGCATTGGGTCTTTGTTGCTGTGCACGGGCACTCTAGTTGCAGCAAGCGGGGGCTACTCTTTGTTGTGGTGCGTGGGCTTCTCATTGCGGTGGCTTCTCTTGTTGTGGAGCACGGGCTCTAGGAGTGCGTGCTTTAGTAGTTGTGCATGGGCTTAGTTGCTCCGCAGCATGTGGGATCTTCCCAGACCAAGGCTCAACCTGTGTCCCCTGCATTGGCAGGTGGATTCTTAACCACTGTGCTACCAGGGAAGTCCCTTTGCAGTCCTCTTCTATCTCCCAATTCAACCAGACTATGTAAAAATAGTCATATTTTTATGACTGCTCTCTTATGAAAAACAATGGAATGGAAAATATTGCTATTAGATATTGTTTGTATGCTTTTCTTTATGTGTGTTTCCCCTTGGTAGCCAGATCATTTGAACAGTCTTATCATTGTGATGCTGTATGATTTCCAAGATAGAAAATTTCAAGCTCGTCTCCTTTCTGATAATGAAGAGTCTATAGCGGAAGTTCTAGAAGTAGAGAACCTTCTTAACAGGTAATTGTAAAGGTGAAAACAATGTTTTATATGAAATCATTATTGGTATTTTCACTGGTCAAATTGTGTACAATATAATGTGTAGATAACTGTTAAAATTTTATAGAGAAAAAATATAAAAGTTCATAAGTTTCTTGAGTTCCTTTACAAACAAATCTTGAACAGGGTAAATATTCTGCTTAAATTCAAGTTGTTTTTCAAAGCTTGAATTGTAAGATCCAACTTGTAAGTATTTGGAAAATGATGAAAAATTCCTGACAATTTTTAGCACGTACTTAAGTTACACTTCATTTGAAACTGCTATTATTTGTTTACCTGGCTTTGTTTATAGCTCTTTAAAAAAAATCTAACATGTATCAAACAAGAAAATTCCAACAGTAGATAAGAACCTGTCACTGTTCCAAGTTGAAAAAAAAGATCTACAACTTCATGTTAGTAGTTAAGAACAAAACTAACATGTTTTAAATTTGTTTTCCTTTTATCCTAAATATCAGCAGAAACCTAGTATGGGGATAATAATAGCATCTACCTAAAAAGGTGGTTGGGAGAAGTAAATAAACTAATGTATATAAAGTGCTGAGCTTAGAGTCAGACACTTAGTAGATAGTCAATCAGTGTTAAATGCTACTGTTGTTAGGGCTTTTGTTATTACATCGTTGAACCTTAATAGAAAGCACAATATAGCAACAACAGCAATCTTGTAGGAAGATTTTTACCAGGTGAATAATCTGCAACAGTTGTCATATGTCATTTTATATTATTATGGGAAACTCAAGCAGTTTCACTTACAGTATTGAAGGTTGAGACCAGAGGACTCACGTAATGGAGTTATAGTAATAACTTACCTTTATTGAACACTTAATATGTATCAATCATTGTTATAAGAAGCTCTTTACATAACAACTCTTTGAGGTAGATATTGTTACCAACCTGTATTTTTACACATGGGAAAACTGAGGCACAGACATGTTAAAAGACCCTGCCTAATGCCATAGAGCTAGAAAGGGGAGTAGCCAGAATACACATTCAGGAATGCTGACTTTAGAGCCCAGGATTTAACCATTTATATGCTACTACTCCTTCCACTTAAGATAGTGAGTGGTGGCTAAAGTACTCTAGAAGATGAAAGATATGACATAGTCATATCTCATGTCAGTTGTAGCCATGAGAAATTTGGAGATGGAGAAAAGCAAAAGCAATCAGATGCATGTACCCTCTGTGTTAGATAAGTAAGGATCTTGCCCCTGATTACTGCATAGGTTTCTGGGCAACTACTTCACCCATACCAGTACCAGGCAACCTGCCTCTGAGGATGGGCACCCACGATGGGTGCAGATACATCAGAGAAAAGTTGGTGGGGCAGTATGCTCTGGGACAGGCTCTGAGTTTCAGCTTTCCTGAGCTGCTGTCAGTTTCTGTTTGACTTAGTCGGGACTCAGGAGATGTTCATGGAAGTCTCAACTTAGTCTCAGTGAGCATAATGAGAGCTGAGGTTAGGAAAGCCACAGGGCTCCAACCAAGTAAGAAAGACCAGACTGTGGTTTCATGAGCAGCAGATTTTTAGCTGAGAATGTTAGCAAGCCAGGCAGGAAATAGGATAAGCAAAGGTCATGGCTCAGGAGGCCAGAGGAACCAGAAGATATTACTGTCTTAGGTTCCTGATTCTCCAGATTTTTCCCTTTCCCCATAATACATACCATGCTACCTCCTGCCTTGACACACATCTGGTTGCATTCTTGTCAGAGCAAGAAGCTGTCAGTGCAGTTTATCCCCCTACCCAAACCAATAGAGCTTCATATAATGCAGATCTTATTCCCACATATTCATGCTATACTCAATTCATAATATGCTATCGGAGAAATGCGTGTATTTAGTGATTGAATTGCAGAGAACAGTAGTGCAGTATACTTATATACAGATAACACTGAAAAAACCCCATGTATAATGATAAAAATCATGCTGAGAAAATACATGTATAAAGATAACACTAAAGGGTTTTAATCAAGAGTCTCAGCTTTCAAGTAATAGAAGCCATCTTCAGTTAGCCTGAGCAAAATGGAAAATGTTCTTATAAAGGTATTGGAATGTCTCATGCAACTCAGAGAATCAGGAAGAGGATGAAAGCAGGAGCTGGAAAGATGTCAGGACCTTTATCTCTGCTTCTTTGTCTCTATCTTTTTAACTCTGCTTCTCTCAATATCTGCTTCATTCTTTTCCTCTGCAGATCTGCCTTCTCTGCTTCTCTAGTCTGCATGGAGAAAACCCTGCTATTGCACTCCACGTCTTGAGCTTACTTGTTACAGTTGTTAGTTTCTTCACTTAGACTAACTTATTGTCTCTAACCCCAATTCTAAATTATAATCCCTCCCCTGGGAATTTGATTGGTTCCATGTAGGTCAGGTGCATTCCCCTGGGCCAATCCCCCATAGCCAATGGAGCAGAATTCTGAACTGAGACAGAATGGTAGCGGCCAACATCTGTAGATCATCTGTGGCTTGGGGCTGGGCACTGTTGTCCCCAGGGAAATAGAATCATTGTAAGCTTGAAGTATACTTTAGTTATGTTTCTACCAAGAAGACGAAGACTAATTTTAAGAGGTGATAGAAGTAATTATTTAGCAAGAAATTGAATGAGAATTATTTCCTCCTTATGAAAATTGTTTGATCTTTGTTGTTATTGTCTCTTCCAGAGATCCTTGTGTTTTATCACTCTACCAACTTGTATCTTTTTTTTAAATTTTCTTTTATTTATTTTTTTATACAGCAGGTTCTTATTAGTCCAACTTGTGTCTTTTTCTTCATCTGTTCATAGCTTTAGAGATATAATCCAAGATGACACCTATTATCATTTTTGACATATGCAAGGTCTTTAAGAACTCATTCCTTGTACAAAATGCAACTATATTTTAAATACTATGTGACTGGGTTAAATAAAAGGAGACCACAGCTTCTTCCTTTCTTACTCCCCCCCCTGCCTTACACTAGCCCAAGAATCTGATTCTGCCAAATAATTTGTTGGGCTTTGGTGAGGCAGAATTGGGGAATGGGCAGTGAAAGAGTAGAGAGGCAGGAGAGGAAAGACTTAGTGGTCCATCCTCCCAAACCACCTAAAACTGTCCTGAAACCTTCCCCATTACAATTAAGGCACCACCAGCTTCTTAGATATCATCCTTGATTCCTCTTTCCTCCCCTCCCCGGTGCCCATACCACACCTAATACATCAAGTTCTGTAACTCCAATTGGAAAACATGCTGAATGTGTCTACTTGTTTCCATTTCCACTCCTACTGTCCAAATCCAAGCCACTATAATGGGTCACTTGGACTACTGCAATAGTAGTCCTCCTTCCCTGCCTGTAACTCTTACTTTTTCACAATCTGTTCCACATGGCAGGTAAAGTGATATTTTAAAAAAGTGATTATATAGTCATGACAGAGTATCTAGGATCAAGCTATATTCCTCTTGTAAACAACTAGATGGACAAAATATATGAGGCAAATATTTTGGACATTAGACAAAAAGCAGCACAGAATTTTGATCCTTGAGAGAATGAAAACAAATGAGGTGAGCCCTAGAATAGTCCTGGCTATACACCTACAGGTACTTTCCAACTGCAGTGCAGGAAGGAGGATCTCAAGAGGAAAACTGTAGTCTTACTAAAGCAAGAAAACAGAGATCAGAGTTTTGGGATAAGCATCTGAAATGGTCATTTTTTTCTCCTTTTTTTTGGGGGGGGGTACGCGGGCCTCTCACCGCTGTGGCCTCTCCCGTTGCGGAGCACAGGCTCTGGACACACAGGCCCAGCGGCCATGGCCCACGGGCCCAGCTGCTCCGTGGCACGCGGGATCCTCCCATACCGGGGCACGAACCCACGTCCCCTGCATCGGCAGGTGGACTCTAAACCACTGTGCCACCAGGGAAGCCCTTTTTCTCCTTTATTCTATTAATGTGGTAAGGTAATTCACATTGAATGATTTATGAATGTTAAAACCATCCATGGATTTTTGGGATAAATCACTTTTGCTTGGATATATCCCTTTTCTGCTATTCCTCAGTTTTCTCATTCACATAATGCTCCAGGGTTTCTCATTTGCTGAAATGCTCCCTAAACACTTGTTCATGGGTTTTTGTCTCTCATATTCTCTCCACCCCTTCTTTGGAAACTCTTAGCCCATTTCACTTACTTAGTGAATATTCTGAAACAGTTGTCAGTATGATGTCTGATTTTATATTTGTATGGGAAATTCAAACAGTTCACTGAAGATTATCCTTTGGCATTAAGAAAATACTCAATTTATATTTAAAGAGAACCATATTTCTTTTGTGTTAGGCATTACTAATGGCACTCCAAAACTTGAGATATTTTGGGAATTCCCTGGCAGTCCAGTGGTTAGGACTTGGCACTTTCACTGCGGAGGGCCTGGGTTTAGTCCCTGGTCAGGGAACTAAGATTCCACAAGCCATGTGGTGTGGCCAAAACAAAACAAAACAAAAACAAAAAGCAAAACAAACTAACAACAACAAAAAAAACTTGAAATATTTTGTTCATTGTTAGGTAAAATTTCTGAAAATTTGAAGCCAAAACGGAGTAAAACCTTTTTTGTATTAGGTAGGATTCTTTTTTGACAACACACAGGACTCCAACTCAAACTAGATTAGACAAAAGAGAAATTTTACTATAAGGTATCACACGGAAGGATTGAACAATGAGACTTGCAGGAAAGACATTGATGTGGCTACGCTTCTACTAACTAAATCCTGTGGCTCAAGTATCATCAGGGCTCTCTTCGACTCTAGTCTCTGCCTCTTTGTGTGCTTTACCTTCATTCTTGGATCTTTTCTTCTGTTCATAGAATGGGAAACTTGGCTGCTGACTACTCAGGAGCTTTACATCGTACACAGCACGAAAACTAGAAAGACTGGCTTGACTCTCGGTTGCTGCACACAAAAATTCGCTTGACTCTGGTTTGGGTCAAGTGCTCACCCTCTCCCAATCAACTGTAGTCAAGGAGACAGAGTCAGTTAGGAACACCTCCCAAGAAAATTATATGAATGGAGGGAGGAGAGGAACATTTTTCGTAAGAGGGGAAGTTTCTATTCCCAGAAGGGAAGTGGTGCTTAGAATAGAAACCTGTAGGTTTCTGCTCTAAATGGAAACATTGCTCTGTAAATATGCTTTGCTGTTTAACATCTCCATTTTTTACGGTACTCTGCCCTCTGTCTGTATATCTTTTCTCTTCTTGTGGTCTGGAAAATTCTTGCTTTTCCTTTAATAGTTCAGGTTTCTCCTCTTGGAAGTCCCTTTAGGCTGATTTTGTTCTTCTTCCAGTACATTTACTCTCTTCTTTATCTATGTATCTTATAACATTAACCATGTTGAGCTATAATTATTTGTTTATATGTCTGTTTTACCACCTAATTGTAAATTACTTAACGATAGAAACTATCTTTTAATCTTTATAGCTCAGGTCTGATAACAGTACTTGATTAATACTAGTAATAAAAGAATGAGCATATTGGACTTTTCTGGTGGTCCAGTGGTAAAGAATCCGCCTTCCACTGCAGGGGACACGGGTTCGATCCCTGGTCGGGGAACTAAGATCCCACATGCCGCGGGGCAACTAAGCCCGCGTGCCACAACTAAAGAGCCCACACGCTCTGGAGCTCACACGCCACAACTAGAGAAGAGAAAACCCGCACGCCACAACTAGAGAGAAGCCGTGCCTCAACGAAAGATCCCGTATGCCTTAATGCAGATCCCGTGTGCCTCAACTAAGACATGACACAGCAAAAAAAAAAAAAAAAAAGATTAAGCATATTAATCATTATCATTTCTTGAATAACTTAACTTTAAATACATTCAAAATTATCTTTGCAACCATTCTATAAGTTAGATACTACTTCTTAATTCCTAGAGCTTAGAGAAGCTAAGTAACTTGTCTAAAGTCACATAGCTAGTAATTAGTGGAACCAGAATCTGAACCCAGGTAATCTGATTGCAGAGTCCAAACCATACTGGCTGGAGAGACAGAGGAACAGCAAAGTAGAGAAAGAGGGGAATGGATGTGGCATGTAAGCAAAAGTGGTAAATAGTTCAGTGTGTGACTAGAGGTAGATTTATGGATGTGAGTGGTGAGAATTGAGAAAGGAAGAGTTGGTTCAGGTTAAATTATTAATATCCTTGTGTGTCATGATAAAGAGTTTGGATTCTGGCCTGTAGCTAATGGGTTCATTTAAGATTTAAGCTTAGGAATTATATAACTACAATTTAACATACAGAAACAAAGCTCTGGCTACGTGTATGACAGGGATGCTGATAAAAAGATAATTAAGCAACTCTCTGCCATAACACAAATTGTAGCAGGAGATGGAGTTCTGGATCAAGAATGTTGGGAAAGGCTGTTTTTGCTTCCGTTTTCATCACTGCAGTCTACCTTAAAGCTATGGAAGTATTTTTAGCAATCACAGGATATTTTATTTATGGAAGTGATATATCTGGTTATCCTAATAGCATTTGGATTTGGTCTTTGTCCTCAATCTGATACTGTATGTTTATATAAGAATCTTTATAACTGTACATATACTTCAAGTTACTTTTTATATGATTAAATTATATTAAAATTCACAGTCCAAAATGTTTGCTATCTGGGTTTTGGAAAATCTTTTCTCCCTATACTCCCTGTATATACACAACACATACATTTTTCTAGGCTTCACATCTCTGATCTTTATATTTAATGATTGAATAATTGTCAGTAGCATTTATTATGGTAAATTCGAACTACGTAGGTATTTGGAAGGACTGTTTAGTCAAAAATAGTCTGTTCTCAGAAACATCTCAGTGTATAATATAGAACAGTAACTCATCCCCTTTATATTAATTTATTCTTTGATGTGCATTAATATATAATTATTTTTAATGTCCCTTGCTGTAGTTCTATGACATCAGGACATAGCACTACACAAATCTAATTCTTTTTTAAAATTTAATTTAATTTATTTATTTGGTTGCACTGGGTCTTAGTTGCAGCACACAGACTCCTTAGTTGTGGCATGCGAACTCTTAGTTGTGGCATGCGTGTAGGATCTAGTTTCCTGACCAGACATCGAACCTGGGCCCCCTGCTTTGGCAGCACGGAGTCTTATCCACTGTGCCACCAGGGAAGTTCCCACAAATCTAATTCTATGATAGCCCCAGAAGGCTTAATGTTTGATAACCCTCCCCTCTACCCCCACCCAAAGTGCCCCTGTGTTCTCACCCTCCCTCCCTCCCTCTCTCCCTCCCCCCCCACCCCCTGCTCTCGCTCTCTGTCTCTATCTTATTAAGCTTTCTGCAGCCACATACACCATTCTCAAGGAACTTGACTTTTTGTGGCATCCCTTCCTCATTTCTCATTCAAGGTTATCCTTGAGGTTTATTATTCAGTTAGATTCCTATTGTGAAAATGCTATGAATATAGGTCAAGAGTAAGTCCTGTGTTCTCATTTATTAAAAATTTGGGCTATGACATTAAAAAAAAATCATTGGGTCTTCATGGTTATGCTAAACAGTTCTTGTTTTTCTTTTCTGTTATTTGGAATTTTGAGGTATGGGATAGTCAGAACTGGGAAGGACTTGATACATATTCATGAAAGTTCCTTAATCTTATCAAGAGTACACTGTTGCCATCTCTGATAATAATAACTGACCTATAATGAGGGCCTGCCACGTGCTAGGCACTGTGCTAAGTATTTTACACACATGATATTAATCACCACATTAGTTGCAAGGTGAGCTGATCACATTTTACAGATGAGAAAACTGAGGCTGATGAGAGATTCAGTATCACACCTGAGGTCACACAGCTAGTAAGTGACAGAGCCTGAATTTTTTTTTTTTTTTACAGTACGCGGGCCTCTCACTGTTGTGGCCTCTCCCGTTGCGGAGCACAGGCTCCGGACACGCAGGCTCAGCGGCCATGGCTCACGGGCCCAGCCGCTCCGCGGCATGTGGGATCTTCCCGGACCGGGGCACGAACCCGTGTCCCCTGCATCGGCAGGCAGACTCTCAACCACTGCGCCACCACGGAAGCCCCAGAGCCTGAATTTAACTTCGTTTGTCTGACTCTAAATCCTACACCTTTTTCATTACATAAAATTTGTCTCTCAGCCAGCAATTGTTTTAAATATTTGAGGAGGACTTCCCTGGTGGCGCAGTGGTTAAGAATCTGCCTGCCAATGCAGGGGACACGGGTTCGAGCCCTGATCTGGGAAGATTCCACATGCCGCGGAGCAACTAAGCCCGTGCGCCACGACTACTGAGCCTGTGCTCTAGAGCCCACGAGCTACAACTACTGAGCCTGCGTGCCACAACTACTGAAGCCCGCGTGCCTAGAGCCCATGCTCCGCAACAAGAGAAGCCATGACAATGAGAAGCCCGCACACGACAATGAAGAGTAGCCCCCCGCTCACCACAACTAGAGAAAGCCCGCGTGCAGCAACGAAGACCCAATGCAGCCATAAATAAATAAATTTTAAAAAAGAAAATATTTGAGGAGATACACAGCTATACAGAGACATCAAAAACTGAAGAAAAGAAGCAGGATTATTGGATTTCCATTTTTAAATATGGCAAATTTTAATTTTAGACTTCAAAAATTTGAAATAGAATTATAGAAGTATTTGTTAAAATTCTAATTGTTAATGTTTCTAGTGGAAAATTGATAGTCTTGTCTTCAATGCAGTACTTACCAAGAATGGATTTTCTGTTTCTAGTTTTAAGACAAAATTGGCTGCGGCATTGGCAAGATGTCGAATCAAACATGATGCCCTTTCAATTTACCACATTCTTCCAGAAACAGTTAGGAACCAGGAACTAAGGGCCTCAACTTTGCCACTTTATGCTTGGATAAATACGTGTAAAATCAGGTAAGATTTCTAATCAAATTCTTTATTTAAGTCACTTGCCTTTCAAAATAATGTGATACGAAATATTACCTTTTTAATGGATGGGGGGCTCATCTGGGGGAGTGTTTGGGGAATCATAGTTTAGTTCAGGATTTTATCACCAGATTACCAAAAGTAATTACATAAATGTGTTAACTTTTTTGTCTCTGTTTTTCAACTTATTGTTGGCTAAAATTACAAGTTCCATTAGATGCAATATTTGCAGTGATATTTTTATTTATTGTAGGAAAAAGATTCTAGTGTTAAATAACACTTTTGATGTGTTATATTTGTAATTAAATCCTAATGTTATATATTTACAGCCCTGAAGAAGTTTATCATAGTTTGAAGAAAAAAGGCTATAATAAAGTCAAATCTGTGTTGCATATTGATAATAAAGTCTTTGCTGTGGATCAACATTGCTATGATGTCTTAATTTTTCCATCTCATCTTAAAAGTGATCTTCTAAATATAGATCTTTTCAAAGATTATAAACTTGTATTTCAGGTAAACTAACACTTACTTTCATTGTGATTCTCAGTAATGCTGCTCACCCAGAGAATTCCTCCACTTAAAAATAAAACCTAACAAATTGGTTATATTTTGTATAGGTTATCAAGGAGGTTTATAAGGCCTAATTTTCACCTTGAATAAAATTAATTCCCCTACAGCCAGTTTTCATTTTATACTTTGACATCTTTGCCCCATGTGAAGTGGGCATATTGTAAAGAACATATTCTTCCTACACACCATAGATGGGGGAACTCTTATTGCCTACAGCTAAAAGGCTATATTTTTCTCTCCCAAGGGAGGATTCAAGAGAAGGCACAGTGATTCCTTTTCTTCTTTCCATTTCTGGGGAAGATGCTAGTGCCATCCTGCATTTGAAAATGCAATGTGTAATACTTTCCCATTATCTCTTTACTATATTCCTACAGCTTTGATTTGTAAGATGTGTATATATAAACAGCTATCAATGCAGGAAGAGAATGTGAGGTATAATGTGGTTTCAATAGAATGAGAAATTAAAAGAAATCAGGTTAAATTAATTTTTATGTGCTTAGATTTCAATTCTTGCCTCAGATTCACCTTAGTTTTGTAAGGTTTATCCCTTCATAGTACCTGCATTCTTGGGCAGAGTCTCTTGGCCTTATTTTGTTGTGACACCTTGTTGAGCACTGAGGTCAGATGCAGAAACTCATCTGTCCAGCCCCCTTTTATAAGCTTGTCAGCCATCTTACTTTTAATCTCTGTGAGCTAGCAGCCATTTAGATGACAGTGTAATGGGGAAGAAAGAATGGCAGTAGCAAATGGGTGCATTTTCATGAAGGCTTAAGAATGGGAGCTAAGGCAGGACATCAGTAGTCTGTTAATCACATTTTGGGGATTTTGGCATTGCCTTATCACTGTATAAAAGTTAAATGATCACAGTCATAATTTAGGCTAAACAAAGTTAGGGTATTGTTTTAAGTCAGTTTATATCAGTTATCTTTGTTAAGTTTATATTTTAACATATGTTAAGATGTTTTAAACTCGAATGCGTTAGGTATCTCTTCAGAATTTCTGCCAGTACTTTGTTTTACCTAAGGCAAAAAGAAGTCAGTACATGCTTCTAGTCAAACCCTTCGAAATTCTAATTGTACCATTATCTTGTAGGACAAATCTCGAAGTCTCGCTGTCCATTCTGTGAAGGCTTTATTAAATATGGATGATGATATCTTAATGGTCAATACAGGTTCGTGGTACACAGTTGCCCATATGTCAGTCTTAACAAATAATAATACCTCAAAAATATTTGTGTGTGGAGTACAATCACAAGCTAAGGATCCTGACCTGAAGAACCTTTGCACAAAAATGGGATGTAAAAGTACGTACAAATATTTATTTGTTTGGTGGTAATGTTCTGTAAGATTTAGAAATGTTAAAAATATTTGAATTTGTTATTTCTCGTAATAAAAAACTCTATATATGAACTATACTCCTAAAATCCCCACTAATCTGTATTATATCAGGCTGTTCTTGTTACTTAATATTGGTTAAACAACTGCAGTTTAAATTAATGAATATATTGGCACTTTGGTATATTGCTTGACATTTACTGCATAATTTGAGTTTCAAACAATAATTAAAGTAAGTGGTAGAAATTGTCATCTTCTAATAAATAAGAACACAATCACGGGAGTTCTTAAGGGACAAAGATAATATCTAGGACCAGATGCTAAGTCCTTAGGCTTCTTATTTTTAAAGAATTTTTCCACTGGATCATGCTGTGACAAAAGATAACATTTCATTATAGGTTCAGTGAAGCTGAAAAACTAAAGGAATCTTTTGACAGATTCACAGGGTCAGCGAGAAGATAAGTAGAATCCAGGGCTTGACATGGAGAGGTAGACTGGTAAATACCCAGGATTTCATTGGAGCACAGAAGTATACCCTGGGTAGTGATCAGTCCTCTGATGAATTGAAGCCCAAATTCCAGTCATCTCAATTCCCAATTGGATTCAGGTGATCTGGGATTGCCAGAGGCAAAAGTAAATTCTCTCTGGAAGAAAGTAACATCATCCTGGATCTCATATTATCTCCTAATTTTTTTCAAATTCTGTGTCTGGCACTCAAGAAAAAGAAAAATCAGACAAAATAGAAGAAAGATGTGAGTGAAATAAAGAGAAAAATACTGCAATAGAAGCAAACCCACAAAAGGGCCAGGTACTGGAGGTATCAGATGTGGACTTTAACTATGATTAATATGCTGAAGAGACTAAATGACAAACTGCAGAATTTTAGCAGAGAACTGGAAACTATAATTTTTAAACTCAGAAGAAAATTCTAGAATTGAAAAATACAATATGTGAAATTAAGAAATAAACAGATTTAACAGTAGGTTAAAACTAAAAGAAGGAATAAGTGAACTGATCAGTCAGAAGAAACTATCCAGACTGAAGCATCAGGAGACAAAAGGATGACTAATATGGAAGAGACCATAAAATACACATGAGATTCAGTGATCCAGTGATGTCAGGTATGTTGTGATTGGGAACCCAGAAAGAGAGGAGAAAAGGAACTGGGAAAAAACAATATGTGAAATTCGGACTGGGAGTTTTAAAAAATTGATTAAAGTCACAGATTCAAGAAGTGCTATGAACTCCAATAAAAATAAATGTGTATAAATCACAGCAAGATCCTTTTTGACCCACTTCCTAGAGAAATGGAAATAAAAACAAAAAATAAACAAATGGGACCTAATGAAACTTAAAAGCTTTTGCACAGCAAAGGAAACCATAAATAAGACCAAAAGACAACCCTCAGAATGGGAGAAAATATTTGCAAATGAAGCAACTGAAAAAGGATTAATTTCCGAAATTTACAAGCAGCTCATGAAGCTCAATAACAAAAAAAAAACAACCCAACCCCAAAATGGGCAGAAGACCTAAATAGACATTTCTCCAAAGAAGATATACAGACTGCCAACAAACACATGAAAGAATGCTCAACATCGTTAATCATTAGAGAAATGCAAATCAAAACTACAATGAGATATCATCTCACACCAGTCAGAATGGCCATCATCAAAAAATCTAGAAACAATAAATGCTGGAGAGGGTGTGAAGAAAAGGGAACACTCTTGCACTGCTGGTGGGAATGTGAATTGGTTCAGCCACTATGGAGAACAGTATGGAGGTTCCTTAAAAAACTAAAAATAGAACTACCATATGACCCAGCAATCCCACTACTGGGCATATACCTTGAGAAAACCAAAATTCAGAAAGAGTCATGTACCAAAATGTTCATTGCAGCTCTGTTTACAATAGCCCGGAGATGGAAACAACCTAAGTGCCCACCATCGGATGAATGGATAAAGAAGATGTGGCACATATATACAATGGAATATTACTCAGCCATAAAAAGAAATGAAATTGAGCTATTTGTAATGAGGTGGATAGACCTAGAGTCTGTCATACAGAGTGAAATAAGTCAGAAAGAGAAAGACAAATACCGTATGCTAACACATATATATGGAATTTAAGAAAAAAAATGTCATGAAGAACCTAGGGGTAAGACAGGAATAAAGACACAGACCTACTGGAGAACGGACTTGAGGATATGGGGAGGGGGAGGGGTGAGCTGTGACAAAGCGAGAGAGAGGCATGGACATATATACACTAACAAACGTAAGGTAGATAGCTAGTGGGAAGCAGCCGCATAGCACAGGGAGATCAGCTCGGTGCTTTGTGACCGCCTGGACGGGTGGGATAGGGAGGGTGGGAGGGAGGGAGACGCAAGAGGGAAGAGATATGGGAACATATGTATATGTATAACTGATTCACTTTGTTATAAAGCAGAAACTAACACACCATTGTAAAGCAATTATACCCCAATAAAAATGTTAAAAAATAAAAAAATAAAAAATAAATGTGTAAAAAACATAGTAGGCACATCATAGCATAATTGCTGAAAACCAAAGACAAAGAACAATGTTCAAAGCAGCCAGGGAAATAATACATATTACCTTCGATGAGATAGCAATAAAACTAAAAATTAACTTTTCAACAGGAACAACTGAGGCCAGAGACAAACAATATCTTCATAGTGCAGAAAGAAAATGTCAGGCTAGATTTCTATACACAGCAAAAATTTCCTTTGAAATAAAAATACTCTCAGAAAAAGAGAGTGAGTTTGTTACCAGCAGATACAATAAAGGGTTTACTAAAGATTATTGTTTGAGTAGAAGGAATATTGTCTCATACGGAAGGTTGTAGATGCTGGAAGAAATGAAGAGCAATGGAAAAGGTTAGTACATAGGTAAATCTAAATAATTGTAGTCTAGTGTCTTGTGGGACTGTAAACTAATGTCTTGTGGAGCTAACAATATTTGTGTTAATGTAATTAAAATACATTACAACAATTGCACATAGTTTAGAGAAGGAAATGGAATTAATGTGTTCTGTCATCCTTGCTTTGTCTAAGAAATGATAAAAGTAGTAAATTATTAAGTCAGTGGTATGTGTTATAATATCGGGGCAAACAATAAACAAATAATAAAAGAATGTAAAACTAATAGCTAAGGGGGAGGGGTGGAATATGGAATAGGAATCACCATAGTAATGTATAAAAGGCAAGACAAAAAGAAAGGAAGTAGGTAGATTAAACTTTACAAAAAATATGTATTTATAAATCAATAAGTAAACATTAAATATGCATGACTGATACTTGAATTATAAGACAAAGAACATCAATACTGGATTTTTAAAGATCAACTTTAAAATGCTATTTATAAGAGATACCCCTTGCATAAAAGGATATTCAAAAAAAAAAAACTTAGAAGGACAGAAAAAGATATTCAGTGAACATACTAACAAAAGGAGCTACAGACAAAGTAGTGTTATGTCAAGAAAACTTACTAGAAATATAGCATGTTTAAGTCATCAGGAAAATATACCAGTACTAAGAAGTATGTACATAATAACAGTCTCAAAATATATAAAGCCACATTATCTAGAATCAGCAGGTAAAATGCTCTGTATATAGAAAATTCTAAAGAATCCATGAAAAAATACAGATTTAATGCAATCCCTATAAAAACCCTAGCTGGCTGTTTTGCAGAAATCGACATTCTGTCCTAAAATTCACATGGAAATCCGAGGGACCTGAAGTAGCCAAAGCAGTCTTGAAAAAGAACGAAGTTATAGGACTCACACTTCCTGATTTCAAAATTCACTACACAGCTTTAGTTATCAAGACAATGCGGGACTGGCATAAAGATAAACATGTAGATCAGTGGATAGAATTGAGAATCCAGAAGTAAAATCTTACATTTACGGTCAATTGATTTTTGACAAGTGCACCAAGACCATTCAACAAGGGAAGAATAGTCTTTTCAACAAATGGTGCTGGGATAACTGGATATCCACGTGCAAAAGAATGAAGTTGGACCCTTACTTCAAATCATATACAAAAATTAACTCAAAACTGGATCAAAGACCTAATTATAAGAGGTAAAACTATAAAACTTCTAGAAGAAAACACAGGAGTAAAACTTTGTGACTTTGAATTTGGCAGTGGTTGTTTAAACACCTAAAGCACAACAAAAGAAAAGATAAATTGAACTTCATCTAAATGAAAAACTTTTGTTCTTCAAAGGTCACTATCAAGAAAGTGAAAAGACAACCCACAGAATGGGAGAAAATATTTGCAAATCATGTATGTAATAAGGGACTTGTATCTAGAATATGTAAACGATAATAAGACATATATCACAATTTAAAAATGGGTAAAGTATATTAATTTAATTCAGCTCTTCAAGAAAAAAGTTTATAAAACAATTCAGTTATCAGTAATGGGCAAGGAGATAATACTACAGATCCTAGAGACATTTAAAACATAATAAAAAGATACTATGAGCAAACTTGAACATTTAGATGACATTGGCATATTCCTGGAACAACACAAGTTACCAAAACTGACAGAAGAAGATATAGAAAATCTGAATACTCTTGTATCTATTAAGATCTTAAAATTAGTGGATATAAATGTCTATTAAATTCATAATTGAAAATCTCCCCACTCACAAAGCAAAATATTTAAAAACCTTTAGTCCTTTAAGGAAGAAATAATACTCTTCCAGAGAATAGAAAAAGAAGGATTACTTCCCAGTTAATTTATAACCTTGATATCAAAAACTTGAAATGGATATTAAAGGAAGGAAAATTATAGGCTAGTGCCACTCATTAGCATATTTGTAAAAATAAGTGTTAGCTAGCTGAAATAAGTATTAGCAAACTGTATTTAGAAATATATAAGAATAGTACATTATAAATAAGCTAGATTCTAGGAATACAAAGTTGGTTTAACTCTTAAAAATCAATGTATGTAATCATGTTAATAGGAGAATAATTTTATGGTCATCTCAATAGATGCAGAAAAGAAATTTGATAAAATTTAACATTCATTTATTATATATATGCACAGCAAATATCATACTTGATGGTATGTTTAAAGCTTTCTGGTATCAGGGATTAGATAAGCATGCCTACCATCACCACTTCTAATCAACATTGTACTGGGAATCACAGGCAGTACAGTAAGGAAAGAAAAGAAGAAATAGAAGATATAATGATTGGAAAGGAAGAAATAAAATTGTGTTTAATTTATAGGTGACATGATTATATATGTGGAAAAAACAAAGTAATCTATAAACTATAGATTTCACGTATGCCTTTTTTAAATTAATTTTTATTGGGGTATGGTTGATTTACAATGTTGTGTTAATTTCTGCTGTACAGCAAAGTGAATCAGTTACACGTATGACTTTTGCAGTGTTGCTAGATACAAGGTCAGCATACAAATTCAGTTTCTGTACACCAATAACAAAAATTTGAAAATGAAGCAGATACCTTTTACAATGAACAAAAAACCATAAAACTTTTAGGAATACATCTAGTAAAAGATGTGTAAGACCTCCTCATAAAACTTATGGAACATTATTGAAAGAAAGAAAGAAGACCTAAATAAATGGAAACAACAGACCATGTTCATGAATTGGAATACTAAATGTCATAAAGATGAGTTTCTTCTCCAAGTTGATCTGTATTGATTCAATTCACTCCTCTTGATGCTACAGGATATTAAGGAAGAGAAGGTCTTTTTAGTAAACGGTGCTGGGAAAAAATGACCCCTGCTTCACACCATCTATACAAATCTAGAATGTATTATAGGAGAAAACTTCTTGACTGGGGCTGGTAAAGATTTCTTAAACAGGGCACATAAAGCACTCATCATAAAAGAAAAGATTGATAAATTGGACTACAGTAAAATTTTTTAAAATTTAAGGACTTCTATGCATTAAGAGTACAAAGGCAAACTGTAGAGAGGGAAATATAAACTGATGAAGAGGTTTTTTTTGCCACAGTATACAAAGAATTCTTACAAATTAACAATAAAAAAGACAGCCCAGTTGGAAAATGTGCAAGAGACATGACCAGGCATTTCACAAAAGAGGATATACAAATACCAAAAAAACTTATGTAAAAGTACCTTAACCCCATTAGTAATCGAGGAAATGCAGTTCAAATCGCAACTTACCACCACATATCCACAGAATGATTAAAATTAAAAAGATGGCAGTACCATGTGCTGGCAAGGTAAGGAGCATTAGGAATGCTCAGACACCGTTGGTTGGACTGTAAATTTGTACAGTGACTTTGGAAAACTAGCATTAATCACTAAAATTGAAAAAATACATGCCCTTATGATCCAGCACTTCCAGGTTTATTACCCCTTTGAATTTTTACCTAGTTAACCAGAGAGAATAGGAACCACTGGGTAACTAAGCAGTAGAGGAAGGGAAGTTTCTTCTTTTAGAAGCATTCCAGGTGATAAATGAAAAAGGGAAGATGGGAGTAGAATACGACTATTTTGCAACCCCTTTGCTGGTAACCATAAAGGCAATTTAATGGATGAATGTGACCCCACTTGTGAAGTAGTTTTGTGCTCCCCACCCACCAAGAAAAAAAAAGAACTTGAATCTAATTAAGCTCTAAAGATCCAGCTACTAATAAACTACATTTTAGGAAAGTAATTAGCAAAATCCAGACTGTGGGAAACTCTAGTAGTACAAAAAAAACATGTTTCATTAAGAAATAAATGATAAGAAAAAATGGAGAGGGTACCTATAAACAAAAATAAATTTAAAAGACATCAACTAATTGCAATGTATGTACCTTATCTAAATCCTGATTTAAACAAACTGTAAAAAAAAATTTGACAAGTGTGAGACTATTGGAAAATTTGAGGCACGATTGTATGCCATTATTATTTGATGATAATAACAAATTACTTTTTAAAATGTATGGGGTTGTATTTTTAAAGGGGTTCTTATCTTTTAGTGATATATGGTGAAATATTTTATAGATTCAAAATAATATGGGGGAGTGGAAGTGGGTGTGGATATAGATGAAACAAGATTGGGAATGAATGGTTCATTGTTGAAGCACCATAATGGGTACTTGAGAATTTATTACATATTATGTCTATTTTTGACATAATATGTTTAAACTTTTACAATAAAAAGTTAAAAATAGGGGAAAAAAGAAAAAGACCCACTTGATTAAAAATTTTTTTTCAAAAGAGACAATAGAAAGAGAGAAGAATTGATCAGACAAGAGAAGGGTTGGGTAGGGCAATTTCAAGAGCAGCTCCTCAGCAGGTGAGGGGAATGGGAGCCATTGCAGAAGTGAAGGGGTGGCCCTAAGATAGGATCACAGATAGTTATAACCTGAGGGGAGGCAGACACTCTTAAACTAAATTATAAGGTCCCTGAAGACCTTTAGACTGTGCCTAAATAAAAATTATAAAATGCTAAATGAAAATATAAATGCTAATAAAAATTTTTTTTCTGGGAAAAATAGAATATAAAAGGGGTTAAAAAATGGGAAGGGAAGTAACCAATACTGAGCATTTACTGTATACTAGGCACCATGCTAAGCCTAACTACTTTATCTCAATCTTCACTACAATTAGATGAGGTGTAGGCTTTATTATCCCATTTTACAAATAAGGAAATTGAGGCTTAGAGAGATTGTCACACAGATAGTAAATAGTGAAGTTGGGAGTCAAACTTGGGTATTTCTGCTGCTAAAAGCCATTTCCCTCCACTATACCATACTGCTTTAAATGGAATCTGAAGTTCAAAATGGAAAATTTAAATTATATTTTATGTAGAAGATATTTAAACTTCAAAATCATTCTCTCAAGTAAAGGAGAAAGAACTCTATTAAGAGAATTCACGCATTAACTTTAGGATGTTATCAGAAAATAATCCTCTTTTCTGACTGCATTAAAATGACTTTTTGTGGGGTTGAGGATTTAAAAATGAACAATGATAAATAGATATAATTACATACTGCATTAAGATTTTTAATTAATATTTTTACATACATTTTCTGTGTTTTTTCTCCCAGATATTGAAATACTTCATGAGACATTTATTAACCTTGAATCAAAGGATCATAGGTTACAGAAAGTTAAAGTGATTCTGCTGCTACCTCGTTGTTCAGGACTGGGTGTTAGCAATCCAGTAGAATTTATTTTAAATGAGCATGAAGGTACTTTAACTTTTAATTTCTAAATTAATTTCTAAATTATTGAAATTTTAATATTTTTAAAATGAAATTATTTAAAATCATTAAGATGACATATCAGATACATCTGATTAATGAATAACTACCATATGTAGAGCACTTAATATGGATAAAGTATTTTACATTCATTACCTCATTTAATCTTTATTATACCAGTTCTGTGAGATACGGGCAAGGGGAATATTCAAAATGTTCAATAATTAGAGTGATGTAGGCAATCAGAACAGATGCTAGTATGCTGTTCTGGCATATACCAGAGCTCAGAATATAGGCATTAACATTTATCAGCATTTTATAGATAAAAAAACTGAAACTCAGAAAGATTCATTCATTTTTATATAGTCACATAACTACTTGGTAAGAGAGCTAGGATTCAGATTTAGATCTGCCTGACTCTAGAGTCTGTGCTCCAAGATGATCCCAATTAAATCATGATCAGACTATTTCAAACTCAAGACTTCTTTAAGCCCCAGTATGTATGTTTTATGATACGAATATCTCAGATTAAATATTCTGAGAATATTTTATTTGCTTCTTTAATAAATTAAGAAATATTATTTAAGATTAACATTTATTGAGCATTTATGTATAAGGCACTGAACTAAATCCTTTGCTTGAATTATTTCATCAAATCCTCACAAGAACTCAATGAATTGGTTACTCATTATTTCTCTTTTATAAATATGGAATCAGGCTCAAGAGAGGTTGAAGCCACTCAGAGTCTTTTGACTGGTAAGTGTCAGAGCCTGGATTCAAACACTACTGCTCTGACTCTGGCCCTTTGAATCATGCTCTTAATCACAGTATGTTAACTGAAATTGCTTCTTACTCTAATCCCTCGTTTATAGTGAAAGGCATAGGTACGGTTAACTAGAATATTAGACAAAGAGGACATTCCACCAACATTCAGAATATGTTGAGTAACTGTTTTCTATTTCTAGCAAGGACAGAATCTAAAATGAAGAAAAAGTAATTGAGGGAAAGAAACTAATATTTATGGAGCGCAACTATGCCCCAGTCAATATCTAGGAAGTGTTCATGCATTATAACTTAATATTCACAATAACTTTGTGAGGATAGTGTTATTTAATTATCTCTGTTTTATAAAGGGGAAAAAAACCCCCAAGATTCAGACAAATTTAGCAAGTTGCCTGAGGTCATGTAGCTAGATTCAAAGCTGGGATTCAAATTCAGATTAGTTAGCACATTCCACTATACTACACTATAGAAAGAATTCCACTATACCAGTGGTCCCCAACCTTTTTGGCACCAGGGACTGGTGTCGTGGAAGACGGTTTTTCCACAGACCGGTGGTTGGGGTGGGGGTGGGGGGATGGTTTTGGGATGATTCAAGCACACTACATTTTTGTGCGCTTTTTTTTTTTTTAATTTAAAAAATTTATTTATTTATTTTTGGCTGTGTTGGGTCTTCGTTGCTGCTCACGGGCTGTCTCTAGTTGTGGCGAGCGGAGGCTACTCTTCGTTGTGGTGTGCGGGCTTCTCATTGCGGTGGCTTCTCTTGTTGTGGAGCATGGGTTCAAGGCATGCAGGCTTCAGTAGTTGTGGCACACGGACTCAGTAGTTTTGACTCGTGGGCTCTAGAGTGCAGGTTCAGTAGTTGTGACGCACGGGCTTAGTTGCTCCGCTTAGTTGCTCTTAGTTGCTTAGATCTTCCCGGACCAGGGCTCGAACCCATGTCCCCTGCATTGCCAGGCTGATTCTTAACCACTCTGCCACCAGGGAAGTCCAGCAGGCGATTCTTAACCACTGCGCCACTAGGGAAGTCCTTATTGTACACTTTATTTCTATTATTGTTACGTTGTAATATATAATGAAATAATTATACAACTCACCATAATGCAGAATCAATGGAAGCCCTGAGCTTGTTTTCCTGCAACTAGATGTTCCCATCTGGGAGTGATGGGAGACAGTGACACCCGAAGTGTGTTGCTTATGTCCAGTCTACTCCATAAGATGCAGCTTAATTGTCACTTGCCACTCACTGATAGGGATTTTTTTTTTAACATCTTTATTGGAGTATAATTGCTTTACAATGGTGTGTTAGTTTCTGCTTTATAGCAAAGTGAATCAGTTATACATATGTTCCCATATCTCTTCCCTCTTGCGTCTCCCTCCCCCCCCCCCCCCCCTTCCCACCCCTCTAAGTGGTCACAAAGCACCGAGCTGGTCTCCCTGTGCTATGCGGCTGCTTCCCACTAGCTGTTTTACGTTTGGTAGTGTATATATGTCCATGCCACTCTCTCACTTTGTCACAGCTTACGCTTCCCCCTCCCCATATCCTCAAGTCCATTCTCTAGTAGGTCTGCATCTTTATTCGTCTTGCCTCTAGGTTCTTCATGACCTTTTTTTTTTCTTAGATTCCATATATATGTGTTAGCATATGGTATTTGTTTTTCTCTTTCTGACTTACTTTACTCTATATGACAAACTCTAAGTCCATCCACCTCACTACAAATAACTCAATTT